GAAATTATGAACATTGCTCAACATCATGAAAATTAAACCTTATTTTCAATAAGCAATCCTGAAAAATATTTGGGGGTGCTTATCTTTTTTCCAGGTGTATATATTTAGATTAAACCTTATTTATTGAAAAGAAATATACACAGACGTAAAGCAAAAACATTTATTATTAAATATTCCATCCAGTAACTTCCAACTTTACTTTTTGCTCTAGGTTCTTGTTTATGTAGACATTTCCATGTTGTGAGACACAAAATAAGATCAGTGTGCTTAGTCTTAAAACTAGCTTTTATGACTTCTTTTTCATTCTCAGTATGTTCCTTTAACTTTTTTTGAAAGTTAGAATTGCTTCCAAATTTTTTCAAGAAAAACTTCCTTTTAAAGACCAGTTATCTTTTTCTGTGCCAGTTTAGTTTTGATTTTTTTCAAGAAATTTTGAAAGCATGCAAAAATAGAATGTAAACAAAAATTCTTTAAAATTTACCATACAAATGATTGGATATTAGTACTATACTATTTGAAATAGCATCAGGTGAGTGAAATATTATTTATAAAAGTCTGTCAATTTGGGAGGCTTATTCCTCCTGATACCCAGATAATTATGTTTAAGCTAATTACAGATGGTTTTAAATTATTTAAAATAATAACCAGACAACTGGTTTAAAATCTTTTTTACCAGACATAGGACATTCCATTGAACAATTAGGCACTGATTTTTGTTATTACATGAGAATACCATAAAAAAAACCTACTTATTAAATGTAATATCCTCTTTTTGGTTCAAAATATTTTAAATTACTTCTTCGGATATTATTTGAAGTAATCCAAAACTACTGCTACTTTTAATGAAAAAATCTTAATAGTTAGGTCTCACATGGGCAACATATAGAAGTTGGTGGAACGTCAGATTTACTGATGAATTAAAAGACTGACATGTTGTGACAGTAATTCCTGTATGCTGAATCTGAAAATGATATCCATTTTCTCCATCACATACAGATTTTTCACAAAACATCATAACAAAATACATAAAAGAAAGACTGAACACATAGTTGTGAGACTGTTGTAAATGTTCTTCCCTTTTCTTCAGTCTGTTTATATTTTTGTTAACAAACATAATGTTGCGTCAGCGAGTCACATGACTACCGTGACGCCACGTTCTAGAACTATCCTGTACTTCGGCGAATGCTCTAGTATTTACTAGATAGGGTAGGCTGGTATATATAA